TTGTAAAGTTTGTTTTCAACATATTTTCTTGTCTCATTGTTACAATGGGTCAACCTGTATCCTTGTTTCAGCATTTTGTTATTTCCCTTCCCCTCCCCAAATTAGAAAAATGTATATGCAAGATGCAGAGCAGCGACATCAAATACAGTGAAAACAGGTTATTCAATGGGGGAAGAACATACCAAAGAAACAACAACAAAAAAAAACACATAGTACATTAAAATACGTTAAAAACAATAGCAAGAAAGAAAAATCCACTTGTGTCCCTATCTTGGGGCTCATTTTACTTAACATCATCTTGTATGGTCATATGTACATAGCTTTTGACTTTTTCTGCTTGTCCTAGACATATACTAGTTATTGCAGATAAGGGAAACCCATAGGACCTATGTTTTTTGGGGCCAGGCTTGCTTCACTTCATATAATTTTTTTCCAAGTCTTTCCATTTCCTAACAAATGGGACGATGTCATTTTTTTTCTGATGGAGGCATAGAATTCTTTCTGATGGAGGCATAGAATTTTGGCAGAGTTCTTGATATATATACCTTCTTCAGGCCTCCAATCCTCTGCTTTTTGTTATTTGTGAACACATATGTAAAACATAACCAGCAAATGGAATTCAAAATGTATAAAATTATCCAGCATATGACTTGTAGATAGATGAAATTTAACCAATCAGTCAAAATTGATTGTATAAATATGTCTTATCCAAAAATCACCTGGCTGCATTAGATATAGTGCCATAGTGAGTAAATCAGTGTGGTACAGAGAAAGACAAATTAGTGCATGGAGTCAAATAGATAACTCATAGTCTATTTCAAATATGACGACTTGTGTCAGCATTGGAGATTAGTGGGGAAGGATAGGTTTCTGAATATATGATACTGGAATAACTGAAGAGACAAATGAGGAAATAAAATTTGACCTCAATATCATATCAAGTGAAAACCAATCCTAAGAATTACATAACAAATGGATAAGTCAAACTTCCAGATCAGGAGGAAACTACAGGAGTAGATAGTGGATTTCTCTAAAAGATACAGTTCCAATTAGAAGACCATTCTCACAGGGTACTGAGAGCTGAGGACAGTGCCTCGGGGAGTGAAATATTCAAGTAGGGAACTCAGTTATAGGGTAAAATTAGAATAGTAGCAAGTAGGGAACAAAAAGCAAAGAAGTCTTTAAAAGATGAGCAGATTAGGCTCAAGTGGTGACACTTTTCTATGCAACTTGGCTTCAGGTATTCATAGGGAAAGTCTAGCTTCTCATTTTGGGCCACAATTTCCCTCTCCAGTCTGTCTAGTTCTGTTTGAAATCTCCCTAGCACAGCTTTTGGCTCAGGGCCTGAAAAATACCCTACTTTGTGATGACCCAGGGACACCTGAAGCAGAAAGAAAGGATGCATTAGCTCTGAGATCCAAGACATAGGGAGATGGAGCCTAGTCCTGCACCTTAGGCTCAGAGCCCCTCTCACCATGTCTGGTGGCCTCCAGCTCAGGAGCCCTGTGCTGGCCATCTGAAAACAAGTCTGCCAGACATTAGGTAATGACCCCATTACTGTGGCTTTTGTCTCATCTTCCTTGATGGTGGATGGGTGCATCCTCATTGAGCCTGGGATTTTAGGAATCCAGGCATACCAGTCAAACCAGGGAGGAATCATCAGAATTCACCAAAGCTCTAATTTCAGGAAAGTTGCTCCCTAATTTCTCTTTCAAGCATCCCCCTTATCTAGACATTGCCCCAAGCTTTCTGGCATCTGTACCTGGCCCTGACTGATGGCTGCATGCTGGGCAATGCATGTTAAGATGTACATGGTAAGGAAGTGACAGAGGTGACAAAGACTAGAAGGAGACAGGGAAACCTAGAAGAAAGAAAGGTGTTTAGAAGCCATGACCTTGAAATAACGAAGCAAATACTGTCTGGACACCGGTAACTCACTCCTGTAATCCTCGCTACTCAGGAGGTTGAGATCTGAGGACTATGGTTCAAAGCCAGCCAAAGCAGGAAAGTCCATGAGGATCTTATCTCCAATTAATTATACCCAAAAGCCAGAAGTGGAGGTGTGGCTCAAATGGAAGAATGCCACTTGCTTTGAGCAAAGAAGCTAAGGGAGATCACCCGGACTCTGAGTTTAAGCCCTATTACCAACACAAAACAAATCAACAAAAACTGATGTCTTGACCTGTCCATACTCTACAATAACCAACTATTCATTCAAAGAGCATCAAACCACTTTATACTAGGTACTCTAGTCACTGGAAATGCATTGGTACAAAAGAGAGAAATCTTTCCCACCTTATACTGTAGATTCTAGTAGGGAGGAAAGATAAATAGAAGGAAAGCTACATCCAGTATGTTTATGATGACAGTAGAAATAAAGCAGGGTAAGGGGATAGAAACAGAAGAGCTGGATGATAATTCAGTTAAGGGACCAGGAAGTGCCGCTGACATCTATGAAGCGGGATGGACTGATCAAGGGCACTAAGCTGTGCCATTCTGCCCTGGTTCTGGCTCTGCTACTGACCTTGAACTGATTGCTCTAGCTGCTTTGAATCTCAACATTTTTCTCTAAAAATGAGGGTCATTGTTACTTATAAATGAGATGGTCCATGCAAAGTCCTCAGTGTGCTGTGACTATCATACAATTTGGAGGCTGAGGCCTAATAGGCTGTCTGGTCATATATCATGATTTTAAAAAGTCGTTGGGAAAAAAAAAGCAGAAAAAAAGCAGACAACTAAAGGGAAAATAGTAAAAGTTTTAGCAGGCACTTCCCAAAGGAAGTTACCTAAATTGGATATGAAATCAAAGGCACACAGCTTGACTAGCCTTTGGGGCAATACAACTTAACCTCACAATGCAATAATACACAGAACTACTAACATGATAAAAAAAAGAAAAGTATAATATGGAACCAACCCAGATGTCCCTCAGTAGATGAATGGATCAAGAAAAGGTTTTATATATATATATATATATATATATACACATACATACACACACACACACACACACACACACACACACACACAATGAATTCTATGCCTCCATCAGAAAGAATGACATTGCTCCATTTGTTAGGAAATGGATAGACTTGGAAAAAATTAAGTGAAGTAAGCCAGGCCCAAAGAAACATAGATCCCATAGTTTCTCTTATTTGCAATAACTAGTATATGTCTGAGACAAGCAGAAAAGGTCAGATAAGTTGATGTTAGGTGAAATGAGCCCCAAGATAAATATTCAAATGTTTTTTTTTCTTTCTTGCGATTGTTTCTAACTTATTTATAAGATGATTTCTTTATTGCTTTGTATGTCCCTTCCCCAGGGTATAACTCCTGCTTTCATTGTATTTGATGTTGGTATAATTTGTGGAGGGGAAGGGAAAAAACAAATCATTTAAATAGGGATACAGGTGGACCCATTTCAACAATGAGATGTACAAGTCGTTATGTTGAAAAACAAACTTTAGGGCTGGGAAGGTGGCTCAGTGGTAGAGTGCTTGCCTTGCATGCATGAGGCCCTGAATTCGATTCCTCAGCACCACATAAGCAAAAAGAAAAAAGCCAGAAGTGGCGCTGTGGCTCAAGTGGTAGAGCGCTAGCCTTGAGCTGAAGAGCTGAGGGACAGCACCCAGGCCCAGAGTTCAGGCCCCAGGACCGGACCCCCCCAAAAAAAAAAAGAAAAGAAAAAAGAACTTTACAACTTTGTTAGGGGTGGAGTGTGGGAGATGGGAAAAGATGGGAAGGGGAAACAAAGGAGGAGGCAACAATGCTTGATAAGAAATGTACTCATTACCTTGCCCATGTAACTCCCTCTGTATGGTATTTTCACAATTTAAAAAAAATGGAAGTGGCTGGGTACTGGTGGCTCATATCTATAACCCTAGCTACTCAAGAGGCTGAGATCTGAGGATCATGATTTGAAGCCAGCCTGGCAGGAAAGTGCATGAGATTCTTATCTCCAGTTAACCACCAGAAAACTGGAAGTGGCACCATGGCTCAAGTGGTAGAGCACAAAGAGACTCAAGGACAGTGCCCAGGCCCTGAGTTCAAGTCCCACATTGGACCAAAAAGATGGAAGTGCTGTTCTCTTGTAATTGAGAAAATGGAAGGAGTGGGGGCTCCCTGTAACTGTAGAACTGGTCATTATGGACCTTACAGTCCATTATTTTCACATCTAGAGTCAGGACCTGTGGAACCCAAGAAACTTAATTGAGAAGTACTGTAGAAATTTTAGTCCAGATGGAGTGCTGTGGGGTAGGTGGAGAAGATCTTTTAAGGTAAGAGTCCATCCATGCTAGGTGTATTGATTATTGATCTGTACATGCCCAGGTCTGGCTGTAATAGTTCCAAACCAGTTTCTTTAATTGTCTCCAAAAAGGTAGAGAATGAGATTTAAGGTGTTGCTCTGACAGGTGAAGAGTTGAAGGACAATTGGAATCAGTGCAGGGTAATCCTTGTATGCTAGAGAAGAATCTGAATCTGGAAGGAGCTGAGAAAAGGCCCTTCTCAAGAGATTAAAATGTGGGCTGAGGGCCAGGCTCACATCTGAAATCCTAGCAGAGATTTGAGGATTATGGTTTGAAGTTAGCCAAGGCAGGAAAGTCTGTATGACTGTTATCACCAATTAATCACCCAAAAGCTGGAAGTGGATCTGTGGTTCAAGTGGCAGAGTGCCAGCTTTGAGCAAAAAAGTGCTAAAGGATGGAGCACCCAGGCCCTGAATACTGGTGCACGCGTGCGTACACACACACACACACACACACACACACACACACACACACACACACACACCACCCCCACACACGGGGTCAGGATACTAAAGGTAGTGTCTAGATCCTAATGAGGAAGGCAGTTGAAGCAAAGAAAGATGAGCATCAGGGTTAGCATGCTGAGTTCAGGTTTGAGCCAAAGCATGGAGAGTACTGAGGTTATGTTTAGAAATGGCCTTGCCCTCTGGCAAGTGTGCAACACACCCAAGCCCTTGTGTGTGTGCTGGATGTAACAGGCCGGCAGGAAGGAAAAGCTACAGTGAGTTACCACAGGCTTTGGTATGAAGCTTCTCTCATTGAATTCTACGATAGAAAAATAGCGAACCATGAAGATGAAACAGAAGCCGTCATGGATATAGTTCCGGCCTAGTTATGGTCATTCACGGCAAGTTATGGGCATGACTGGAAGTAGGGCCAAGAGTAAAGGTTTGAGGCCAAGGCCCTCCAGGAAGATGATCTGGCTGTCTAGAATGAAAATTGTGAACTGTTAGCTGGGTGTTGATGGCTCACACCTGTAATCCTAGCTACTCAGGAGGCTGAGATCTGAGGATCATGGTTCAAAGCCAGCCTGGGCAGCAAAGTCCATGAGACTCTTTGTCTCCAATAAACCACTAGAAAACCTGAAGTGGTGCTTTGGCTCAAGCGGTAGAGGGCTTGCCTTGAGCTGAAGAGCACAGGAACAGCACCCAAGCCCAGATTTCAAGCCCCAGGACCAACAAAAAAAAAAAAATTGTGAATAGTTGCTATGCACTGGTGGCTCACTCTTAGCTACTTGGGAGGCTAAGAATGGGAGGATTGCAGTTCAAGGCCAGCCCAGGCAGAAAATGTTTCCAAGGTCCTTTCTCAACTGGTAACTGGATGCAGTGATACACACTTGTTATTTAAATCTGCACAGAGGCCAACATTGGGCAAGATAGTAATTTTAGATCTGTTCATACAGAAAAGTCCAAAGCACTTCATCTCCATCAAGGGAAATGGGATGCTGTGTGGTTGCCTGTGATCCCAGCAGGAAGCCTAAATTAGGCAGGTCTCAGATGGAGCAGGTCCTGGCAGGAAATGAGACTGTTTCAAAAGTAACCATTACAAAATAGGCCTAGAGGCATCAGTCAAGTAGTAGAGCTATAGCCTACCAACAAGCCTTAGTACCACACACAATACAAAATATCTGTGACTATCTTGTAGATGTGTTCATGCATGGAGAGGGAGAGGTGTGATTTGGGGTTAAGGTCCTATCCCCAGAGGGGCAGAGCTAGGAAAGGCCTCTGGGATGGATCTTACCTCGGTCCTGAGCCTGGCACAGCCCCACCTCAGTGATCTCCCGACACCAGGCCTGCAGCTCAGGGTCCCCTCTCACAATGTCATCCCTCTGGTAGAAGGGATGGACGATGCCCCCCACATACCTATCCAGAGACGTTAGCTGAGCTCTCTGAGAGCAGAAGGCCCCAACCTCTTCTGTCTGCTCCTCTTTCATGTCACCTCTGCCCAGCTACTGTTTCTCTATGTGTAGGGGTATGTGGGGGGAGGGATGCAGAACTTCCTTCTCTTTGGGACAATTCCTAGATCCTCTTACACAGAAAATGTTAATAATAGTAAAAGCTGGATTTATTTTGGTTCCTTTCTCCTTCCAGCATTTTTCAATGAACTTTAATATACAACAATTTGAGAGAATAGAAAAACATGTGAGATGTATTTAAAAACTACAGTATAAGCTGGGAGCTGGTGGCTCACACCTGTAATTTCTAGCTACTCAGGAGGCTGAGGTCTGAGGATCATGGTTCAAAGCCAGCCTGGGCAGGAAAGTCCATGAGACTCTTCAATTAAGTACCAGAAAACTGGAAGTGGCACAGTGGCTCAAGTGGTAGAGCACTTGCCTTGAGCAGACAAGCTCAAGACAGTGCCCAGGCCCAGAGTTCAAGCCCCATGCCCAACAAACAAAAACAAAAAACCTACAGTATAGCACTGGTACAGTACATTAAAAGATTTTGCTGAAAGAAACAATAATAAAAGGTCTCCATTTATACTTCATATATACCTTGTGTCAGAGAGCTATATACTTTTTTCATGGTAATAGGATTTAATATTCTTTGACTAAACACAACAGGATTTACCCATTAACTGTAAGAGTTTTCTCCTTCAAAACAGCCATCTTGGTAGGTTATATATTATGCATTTATTCTAGTGATGTTAGCATTGCTTTGGATGTGTTTTTTTATTATTGTTGTTGGTCATAGGGTTTGAACTCGGACTGAGCGCTGTCCCTCAGTGGATTGGGTCAAGGCTAGCTCTCTACAACTTGAACCACAGTGCCACTTCTGGTTTTCTGGTAGTTTATTGGAGATGAGTCTCATGGACTTTCCTGCCTGGGCTGGCTTTGAGCAGTAATCCTCACATCTCATCCTCCTGAGTAGCTAGGATTACAGGTGTAAGCCACTGGTACCCAGTTACTCTATTTCTTTTAACTCTAAATCCAGAAGCCTCACAAATATGACCACTATGAGTAGAATGCCATCATTTTCTAGCCTTGTTGCTGCCCTCAAGTTTTCGTGTCTTTTGTCACAGGCAGGGAGCATAAGCAGAGGTGGCCTTGTGCAACTGCTCCATTGGGCAGTGGCTTAGCTGACCTATGGCTCCCTCTGTCTGCCTGAAGACCTGGCTGCCTGGGGCCTGCTGGGAATCCCAAGTGCTTACAGGATGTTGTATGGCTCTGGGAGATCACTACCCAGTGAGCGAGAGGGGGCTGAGAATTGGAGGTGTGGAAGAGGGGAGGGGGCAGCGATGTGGTTTTAGTTAACATAGGGCTAAAACAAAGTATAATCAAGAAAGTGCAGATATGAGGGAATAAAAAGAGAGTTGAGGGAAAAGGAGAGAGGGCCAAAGTGGCTCAGTGGTAGAG